AATCCAGGGATGCAGTAGTGTTTTAGGGTCTACATGAACCCCGAAGAACCTACATGTTTAAAGACCTACATAAGGAAATGATACCATTTAGGGCCTAGGGCTGAGGGATGCACAGATCCTTCTATACAGGGATTCCTTAGCGAAAAGAGACGCTTCCGGCTCCGCAGCCATGACTTCCGAAACCGTAGCTTCGGGGCCTGATCTTCTCACCAATACTACTCCTTTGAGCTCCGGATTGTAATCATACGATAGTGTGCCCTGAAACCCTGTTCTAGTCAGTAAGATACCAAACCCTTACGGTAACCCTTATAGAGACCCCTTCAAGAAACCTTTATAGAACCCCATCATTGTAGTAGATCCTTATCGTAACCCTCATAGAACTCTTAACGGAAACCGATGACTTTAATAACCATTAGGTAGGGATTCTAATTTCATGAGGATTAGGGTTTGGGGTTTAAGGTTCAGGGACTGGGGTTTAGCTGGGACTACTCTCACTGTTCCTTTCTACTCAGTTTAATACCTACTGTGGCCGTGGTTGCCTGATGTTGGTTCTAGCTGCAGTTTCCACTCGCCTGACAGAGATAAGGCTTGCACGAGGCAATCCGTCTAGTTGCCCGGGTGGCAAAATCTAGGCCTCCGTGCTCAGCATTAGAACCTAATTTGGAAGATTAACCTCAACTCTCGAAATGCTACACCCTAAAGCCCAATCCCAAGCGCTGGGCCCCAACACTCAAACCGCAAACCGTGTAGCCCAAGCACTCAACCCTGAACCCTAAGCCACAAAAACTCTGAATGCAAAGTCCCAAACTCCAGCAAACGACACTCCTGAACCTATGCGTCAAACTAGACGGTGTCCGTTTGTGTCATTTAGGCGATCACAACCAAGTCTTCTTCGGATTCTACTACGGCACTGGGGGTTTGCAGGTTTAGGGCTTGGGGTTTAGAGTTTCGGGTTTAGGGTGGAGTGTTGGTTTCGCGAAGAATGCTGCCTCTCTGTTTAGTTTGGTGTCAGAGTGTCACCCCTAGCCCCTTTATATTGCATTAGAAAAATTGTTTGTGAAACTGCAGGCTAGTAATTTGTCAGGCTTGAATACATATCCCTTCTCCCATGCCGGATCTTCACACATCCGGGACCCCGATACAGACCCCCTTCTAGTTGGATCCTGATTGGAAGGCGAAGCCCCCAGGAAGGATCCTAAACCCTAAACCCTAAACCCACTGATTATCTCATATTCTGATGCACAGCCCTGAACACCAAAGTCTCGTCGAAAAGCCCTACAGTCATCGTTCTTTCGACTACTCTACGGTACTCGTCCTGTGATTATGTATTGGAAGCCCTTGAAATATAAGGCCACATAGAAGAACAAAATGTAGGGACCTTGATAAAAAGAGAAGGGTTGCGGGGCCCATTATACTACACAATCACAACCCTAGTCTAATTATTAAGACCCTTATGGTATAAAATATCCCAAAGTCCTACCTGGCTATTTGCACCACGTCATGTGCTGTCGATGAGAAGTCCTGCATCTGGAGACCGCTCGGAATATCTGATCCGGAGTTCACACATGGCTTCTCAAAACACCACTGTTTTTATTCTGATAAGATGCTAATGACTAGAATAAGAATAAGAAAAAGAACAATAAGAATACAAGAATAAGAATCAGAATAGTCAAAATAATAAATATAATACCAATAATGACAATACTAATAATCATAATAAGAATAATAATAATAATACTAATAATAAGAAGAAGAAGAATAAGAATAATAAGAATTATCAGAATAATAAGAATAATAGTAATAGCGATCCTTGAAGTGCGGAGGTCTGCGCGTCATCTCTTTTCTAGCACTTGTGGCACTGAGGATGTGGTCTGGGCGCTGGACGAGCATGCGCCGGGATGTAGCCGCAGTATAAACTTCTGCGACGTGGCTCAGGAGCCGACTAGGGAGGGTGGGATCCGATTTTAAAAGATACCCTACAGTTGGGCCATTCGCTCTGCCTGGGCATTGTGCACTGGCAGATGCCGGCCGAGATTAAACCGCTGCCCCGTGGAGAACCCAGGCGCTGGAAAAGGCCTGGGGGACGGGAGAGGGTGATCATGCAAGTGGGGGAAAATGGTGAGCCTAGGCCAAGCCTACCATAAACTACCGCAGCCTACCTCTTTGCTCCTTCTTACTATAAGCCCCAATATAAAAACCTTTAAGGGTATCCCACAAACGAAGCAGGTTTCGGTAGGCCAAGCCTAGGCCCTAAAACCTCGCAAAGCCCTGGTCAGCTTTGCTCAGAGGCCCATCAGCGACTCCAGGTGCGGACAGGTGCCGCCTGCACTCTTTGCCTGGGTTGCGCCGGGGGAGGGGGGGAAGCTGAGCAGCTTTTTAGGGGTTTTGGTCTTCTTTGTTGGGGGGTTTTAAGGCTTAGGCATTGGGGTTTGGGGTTTAGGGTTTAGGGTTTGGGGTTTAGGGTTTAGGTCTTCTTTTTGGGGGTTTTAAGGCTTAGGCATTGGGGTTTGGGGTTTAGGGTTTAGGGTCTAGGGTTTAGGGCGGGGTTTAGGGTTTAGGAGTTTTGGGTTTGGGGTTTTGGATATGTAAGGGCTAAGATGAAGGGGCGACCAAGGGATACTATTGCTGATACACCCTAAACCCTACACCAACCTAAACCGTAGACCGTAAACCCCTAAACCCCAAACCAAAAGTAACTTAAAACGTGGACCCTAAACCCTAAACCAAAAAATGATATAAACCGTGGACCCTAAACCCTAAACCCTAAACCAAAAATGATATAAACCGTGGACCCTAAACCCTAAACCCTAAACCAAAAAATGATATAAACCGTGGACCCTAAACCCTAAACCAAAAAATGATATAAACCGTGGACCCTAAACCCTAAACCCTAAACCAAAAAATGATATAAACCGTAGACCCTAAACCCCTAAACCCTTCCGACCCCGATACTAGGGCTCAGAGACTTCACGGCTTGGGGCTCAGGGTCTGGACGGTTGAAGGTTTAGAGCCTCACGGTTCAGAACTGCGGAGGTTGAAGGATTTAGGGTTTAGGGTTGACGGGTTGAGGGGTTGAGGGGGTGAGGGGTTGAGGGGTTGAGGGTTTAGGGGTTGGGGTTGAGGGGTTGAGGGGTTGAGGGGTTGAGGGATTTAGGGTTGAAGCTTCAAGAACCCCTCGACGGACCCTGGCACGAAGCATCTTAAGTCAAGGGATGCTGAACTCCGTACATCTCTGAGAACCCCTTCGACCTCGCTGGGAGAATACCGCGCAAACTTCTTACCGACATGCTCAACAAAGACAGAATCCGGGAAAAACGACACCGCCAGGGTTTAGGGCTTAGGGTCTAGATCCTGAACCTTATAGTTCAAATGTCCCTAAACCCTAAACCCCCTAAGCCCTAAACTCTAAACCCTAAACCCTAAACCCTAAAGCCCTGAAGCCCTAAACTTATGGTTCAATGTCTCTCGGAGAAGGCACCTTCATTGAAAGCAAGTGCGGGCAGCCCTGCGCCGCACCTCGGCACTGCGACGTAGTAGGGCTCCCTTTGTCAAACATCAGCCTTCCCTGTGAAAGTACATTATGTTAAAGGAAACTACAGGTGGGGAGCTTAGGGTTTAGGGTTCCTTTAAGGGTTTACGGTTTAGGGTTCCTTTAAGGGTTTAGGGTTTAGGGTTTAGGGTTCCTTTAAGGGTTTAGGGTTTGGGGTACAGGTGGGGAGTTTAGGGTATATAGGGCTTCTGTAAGGCTTCCATAAGGTAGATAGACCTTCTATCAAGCTCCTAGAATGGTAACTACCCACCTGAAAATGTCCTAGATTATGTTCAGCAATGCCTTGGGTTTACAGCATAACGAGAAGGACAAGAATTTGTCCACAAAAGGTACCACTTGTCAGTAATCAGTAATGTCGACTCCTGATGCACTTCTGTCTGTTTAGGGCCTTTCTACCAGGATTCAAAAGACCCCTAAACCCCTAAACCCCTAAACCCTAAACCCTAAACCCCTAAACCCTAAACCCCTATTTATCGAGGGGCGCAGGTCTCTTTATCAGCCTCTCAAGTTGTAGCTCTCTGAACTATAGGGCCCGTCGTGCCTTTCGAATTTCGATCCTAACGGGAGCAGAGGGAGGAAGAGTCCAGGGACGAGATCAAGGCTGTTGGTTTTAGGGTTTAGGGTCCAAAGTACCCATCTGGACGATCCAAAAGATCCATCTCAGCGACCGTAAAGTCAAACCACTCCTCGGGGAACTTTAGGAAAGCCACTGGAACGCTACCACATCCGCCAACACCCTGAAACTCTGAATTCCTCTATGAACACGCCCGGCGATCCTCACGAATACCCCCACAAACCCTACAGCCTAAACCCTAAACCCCAAACCCCAAACTCTAAACCCCAAACCCAAAACCCTAGACCCCAAACTCTAAACCCTAAACCCCAAACCCCAAACCTTAAATCCCAAACCCCCAAACCCCGAACCTTAAACCCCCAAACCCTAAACCCTAAATCCCTAACCCTGAACCCCAAACCCCAAACCCTACTAAACCCCAAACCCCAAACCTTAAACCCAAAACCCTAAACCCCTGAACCCCAAACCCCAAACCTTAAACCCCAAAACCCCCAACCGCAAACCCCAAACCCTAAATCCCTGAACCCTAAA